GTTGAAATGCAACAGTTATATATGACTAACTGAGTAGAATGATACCAAAGGAGCAAAGCAGCTGTATTAGGAAATTTTGGCACTATTCAACTATTACTACCCCAGTTTTGCGAAAACAGGCCGGATCTTGATCGACTTTTTCTACGGGGCAGATTTGGCTGAAAGTTGGGTTCTAGGGGTAATTCGACCTCCTGAACACGAATATCACATCCACTTGGCCTGAAAGTGCCTGGCGCCCGCGCCACAGGCGCCAGTGATTTGGGGCATTTTGGCGCCGGCGCCTGTGGCGCGGGCGCCGAGAGGTTTCAGGCCGAGCGGATGTGATATTCGTGTTCAGGAGGTCGAACTACCCCTGGGCACAAGTTTTCAGCGGATTTGGTGATCTAGGGTACTTTGGCGCCGGCGCCTGTGGCGCGGGCGCCAGGCAGTTTCGGGAGGAGCGGATGTGATATTCGTGTTCAGGAGGTCGAATTACCCCTAGAACCCAACTTTCAGCCAAATCTGCCCCCGTAGAAAAAAGTCGATCAAGATCCGGCCTGTTTTCGGAAAATTGGGGTAGTAATAGTTGAACAGTGCCGTTTTTTTTTATCCCCACAGTGAGGTATACCACTTGCGGGTTCATAGTGACCTGACCTATCGGGAGACTTGCATGACGTCCCGTGTTCTCTGCTAGATTTTGGTATCAGAAGATACCGCGGGTGGAGTCGTGAGACGGTACCCGGGAATGACCACGCCAGCTTGTTCTAGTGCGCTTTTGAACAGAGAAAAAGGGGCACGTTGCTGCAGCTTCGAACCTGTTCACCTTCGCACATGGCCAGGCTGTTCTTTAAAGAGCGCTGCCTGCTTCTCTAAAGCGTTAGTATATAGTGTTAACCATATATTTATTATATTCCCGTTCTATTAAATGTTATCAGAGTTGGATTTCCAACCAGGTTTTCTCTAGGACACAATCCCTGTGAGAACAACATTTTGCATTTCATTTATGAGTAGTACTATTATTTTCCAGGTGCCAAAACTGGTCCCAAATCCGTCGATCCGTTCTTGATCCGTTCTCATTCCGTAAGTTCTCTTCCTGTTAGACGCCTGAAGCATCTCGTAAGCAAGTACTGATTGTTGCCTGCAGAAAACACGACATGAATTGTCATAGATATCCTTTAGGGTAGTCCCTAAAGGATATTTATGACACGTGCCTTTATCTTTGTCAGCGTGTGGGTGTAGATAGCCTGAAAAACAATTATTTCTGCTTATTTATTTGGCTACGCTGTGAGAATGGCGTGATTGTGCAACAGTAAGATAGAATCGGAAGTGTAACTGGGAGAGTGAGAAAAAAATAAAGAAAAGAAGATATGATTCATAAGGAAAGGTTGTAGATGGAGACCTGGCCGAAGGTATTGGAAGATATGAATAAATGGAAAACTTCAAAAGTAGTTTTTCCAATGGTTCACCCTAATATTTTCGTCGTAAGCACCATGTGGAAGGCCCGTTTCTGCCCTCCCCTGATGAAGCATAGATTGGCAGATGTCGCGGCTAACAAACCTAAAGACACTTTGAGCCTTATGTTCTTACTAAAGCCAGCCGAATTTTCACCCATCCGAAAATTTCAACTGGAATTTCTTCGACGAGGATAAAACTACGGAGTCGATCCTCGGCTCTGCCCGCAGTTCTTCTTTAGCCCGCCTATGCGTTAAAGTGTCTCTGTTGTTCCATATTGGAGTCGGATACTAGGTGTTTTTAAAAGAAAGGATTGATTGGGCAGCTCCTGCACCCTCTTATCGACATTTTCCAATAACAGGCAGGCGAATGTTGTAGCACGATGAAAGTGCACGTATCCTTCTATTCTATTGGGTTGGCACATAAGTACTTTCGTTTTTTTCAACCGGAAATTTCGTTCCAAAGATGAAATGTTTTGCTAGCAAGCTTGATATCATCTGATAGGAAACTTCACGTAGTTTTAGAATATCAAAACGGCTTTGGTTGAGGGAATAATTTTTGTGGATTTTTTAGTCGTTGAAGTTGAAAGCGAAGTCGGCGAAAATTAGCACCTTCGACAACTGCCTCTATTTACGTATAGTCGAAGTGCTAAAATCGCTTAAGCTGCTCCATACATTTGGAAAAGGTCGAGCTAGAAGTTCCGGCCAGGGAATCTCACTAGGACGCTTTGGAACGAATTTCAAGAATTTTGAAGTTACCAACCTTCACCTCGCCGATATTGGGCAGCTCACGTCTGTTCCACCTGAAATTTTATGCTAATATTTGAATGTTTCGCTGATATGTTTTGCATGTTCTGATAGCAAATTTCGTGCTCTATAATGCTATAGAAATCTGTTCTCCAGAGGTGTTTGCTTTCTGTTAAGTTCAGGTTATCATTACGGAACGCGAAGTCGTTGAGAACTAGCGTTCCCGTTCTCCACGAATTTTATGCTAACATTTGAAATGTTTCGCTAATTTCTATATGTTCTTGAACCCAATTCGTGCTCTATAACACTGCGTTGCAGTTATTTGAAAATCCGTTTGATGAACCTTGTTTTTCAGGTGGATAATATGGAATGTCAGGTCGATAAGCATCAGCACTTCAGACATCTCCTCCTTTTCGCATTCAACAGAGGTATCAGAGCTGCTGATGCTGCTCGGGAAATTCGCGAAGTGTACGGAGAAGATGCCCTCTCTCTCAAAACAGCCCAAAATTGGTTCAGACGCTTCAAGGATGGTACTGATACCTCTGTTGAATGCGAAAAGGAGGAGATGTCTGAAGTGCTGATGCTTATCGACCTGACATTCCATATTATCCACCTGAAAAACAAGGTTCATCAAACGGATTTTCAAAATAACTGCAACGCAGTGTTATAGAGCACGAAATTGGCTACAAGAACATATAGAACACATTAGCGAAAATATTCGAATGTTAGCATAAAATTCGTGGAGAACGGGAACGCTAGTTCTCAACGACTTCGCGTTCCGTAATGATAACCTGACTTAACAGAAAGCAAACACCTCTGGAGAACAGATTTCTATAGTAGTTTATAGAGCATGAAATTTGCTATCAGAACATGCAAAACATATCAGCGAAACATTCAAATATTAGTATAAAATTTCAGGTGGAACAGACGTGAGCTGCCCAATATCGGCGAGGTGAAGGTTGGTAACTTCAAAATTCTTGAAATTCGTTCCAAAGCGTCCTAGTTGAATTCCCTGGAACTTCTAGCTCGACCTTTTCCAAATGTATGGAGCAGCTTAAGCGATTTTAGCACTTCGACTATACGTAAATAGAGGCAGTTGTCGAAGGTGCTAATTTTCGCCGACTTCGCTTTCAACTTCAACGACTAAAAAATCCACAAAAATTATTCCCTCAACCAAAGCCGTTTTGATATTCTAAAACTACGTGAAGTTTCCTATCAGATGATATCAAGCTTGCTAGCAAAACATTTCATCTTTGGAACGAAATTTCCGGTTGAAAAAAAACGAAAGTACTTATGTGCCAACCCAATATATAGATTTTTATACGGATGCGATTATAAAGCAGTCGAGTGAATAATAACCGATTACAACATTTTCACAAGAACAGTGAGTCATGGGTTGAATTGTAGTCTCCGGTTGTAATTTCCTCACCCTCACTCTTGAACGATTCTGGATAACTTCCTAGTATGTCTAGTTCAACTTGAGATTCATCCCTTAAGACCACCGTCTCATGAAATGAGCACTTATTTTTTTTCACCAGCTATCGCCAATTATCATCGGTTATCACCACCCTGTCAGGAAGTGCAACAAAAAGGTATATAACGTGCTACCTTTGCGTATAAAGGCGTATCGGCAATTCTGGAGCCTGACGATAGCAGTCCAAGAAACGCTAGCCATATGAGCAGAGTTATCTTTACCCCTCCCCCCCCCACCTGCTGCATGCAACCTCAGATGCCTCGCACAATACAAACTTTACTCGTATACGCACAGAACCAACTGAACCGACACGTATACCCTCCTGGAAGGGGCCTTTGCAGAGTCCGCAACACCAGTAGTTGTGAACGCTGCCTAACTCCTAAAGCCCCTGTATGGGTTGACGCAGGCTCCCTTTTCTTCAGTGGCTTAGGCAAAGGGCTTGGCAAGCTACTCGCCCTTTTGCGGCCGAGTTAGCTTAGCTTTTCGGATGAAAAACAAATCTTATGGTTAATGTGATATGACTACGGCCTGTGTATCAAACGGATTTTATGCATAGATAATGAAGATTTGGTGGAGGTGGTGTAGTGACAAGTGGCACGCATACTACGCACGATCCGAGGTAATCCCGTATGGGATCATGCCTGGCTGACAAGGTCTCCCACCTCCGAAGATAGCAAACTGGTACCATATTCGTCTGGAAGGATAAGAACACTCACTTGTACATCTGCTAGCCCCGCAAGTCATTGTATAGGCCACATCGCATTCAGTGAGCCGCTACGATTCTGAATGGGAGTAGGGTGCGTGGCGCAAAAGGAATTGACCAACGGCAAAGGCTATCCTTGCGTGGAGCTAGTAACGAGGGAAGGATGCTAAGTCGAAGTGGCCATTTGAAATGAGATGTGTACCGCCTGGAGGGCTTTTGGAAGGGGATTACGGAACCGAGTCTCCCATATCTGTTGCGGACTTCCCGAGACAAAGTTGTCCTATAATTTGTATTGAAGGCCAGTGTGCCCCTTCTCAAGGGAGCACACTGGCCTTCAATACAAATTAGTGGCGTAGGGCTATCTCGCTCTTGGCCAAGGGGATATTTCGTGGTCCTATGAACACATTGTTGAGGGATTGGTCTTGGTGCGTGTGCTCTCTTGCATTTCTTCGGCAGTGGTCTCTGTGCACTCGAAACCATACTTGCATAACTCTTGTGCTTGATAATGTCGTCAAGGTATGTTTCTGAACTGGTGGAGCCATTGCGGGCGATTCTACGGAGGATATTTTTGGGTAATGATGTCCTCACATCCAGTTATCTCTGAGTATACCCCCCTCTCTCCTCAAATAGGGTGGACGTTCGCGATATGTGGAGTGTAATATTGTAATATTTATATTACCAATGATTCACCGTGGACATTATTTTTATATCACACAATTTCTTTTTGTTTCAGAAAACCGCATCAAGCGCAGTTTTGCAGAATCCTAATCAACACAACACGCTAGTGGCATGGTCATCGTCATCGGTCGACGACCTTCATTCACCTAAAGCATCAGCGCTATCATCGTCGTCACCCAAAATATCGCATCTTAGAACAAGTTTCGACTCTGCTCTACCATCACCTACTGTGCATAATGACGTCATTGCTTCGTTACCAAATTGTGTGGTTGAGTCGGCCAGGCGAGCATCTGTGCATGATGGAAGTTTTGTGTGAGTTCAGCTACTTGTTTCCCTTTGTATCTTGAGGAATCTTCTGGAAACAGTACGACGCAAAATTCCCGAATAATCCCATGAGATACCCTTTTTCATGCGCTGCTGCGTGTGTATAGCGTTGTTTCACTGCAATGCATCTAAAGCTGGTCGCCAACTGCGACGGCACATTCGAATAGGGCCTTTTTTATCAATCTTTGGATAAATGTGCCGCACGCGACGATCGCACAAATGCCTGACGCGTTGACCCGGAGCTGCACATCTTGGGTCACATATACCATTTTTATGTGAATTCACCACTAGTTAAACCATAATCAGCACTTTTCGAAAGAAGTTTAGTTTTCAAAGCAAAATCACCTTTCCTCAAATTCACCATGCTTGAGACCGGGCAATAAATCAATCAGGTCGCACTAGACACCACCACAGCCCCT